GAGAAAGAGAGGAAGAGAAACATGTATGTACTTCTCATACACCCCCAACTGGGGACTTTGCCCACAACCCAGGCATGTGCCCCGGCTGGGGATCCAACCAGTGACTTTTCGGTTTGCAGACCGGTGCTCAGTGCACTGAGCCACTCCAGCCAGGGCGTTACCCTTTCAAATAGAAGTGTTAGCAGATGCTTCATAGTTATAAGAGCAGGTTAGGGGTAAAAGCGTGACTGTAGGCCATTCTCTTGATCTGATTTTAAATCATATACAGTACTTATAATTTAATTTCATTAAAAAGCTATAGTTTTTTTTCAAAATTCAGATCAAGATCTCATGACAGACTCAATCCTGGAAAGATCATTTTGTGTTATCACTATGAACAAGTAACTTAATCCTAGTTTTAAAATGGGAGTGATGCCCTAATGGCAGAAATCTTTCCTATGCTCTAAGTACTACTGTAAGAATTTCAGAGAAATGACCAAAAGATTAGTGTGGTAGGGCTATGTTTACTTTAAGGCAAGAAAATCCCAAACGAAGAGAATACACCTTGGACCTGGCTGCTGTGGCTCAGGTGGTAGGAGCATCGTCCCATAGACCTAAGGGGCACAGGTCTGATTCCTGGTCAGGGCACACACCCAGGTTTTGTGTTCTGTCCTCCTCTGGGACATGTATGAGAAGGCTGCCAACCAATGACTCTCTCTCTCTCTCCCTCCCTCTCTCTCTCTGCCCCTCTCCCCCTCCTACTCTCTTTCTAAAAAAAAAAAAAAAGCAATAAAAATATGTCCTCAGTTGAGGATTAAAAAAAAAAGAAGACAGCTTGGGAAGCACCCATCATCAATCAAGAAATCTTAGCAATAAAGCTTAAGTTCACATTTTATTCCATTTTAATCATACCGAAAACTTTATCTATGGGAAAAAAAATGTCCAAAATCCTTGACTAACTCCTGTTTCTGATATAATCTATTATAAAATTATTCTCAATTAGCAATATAGGAAATTTGTGTTATATGATAAACACAAGAATTTGCAGGCCATATGGCCACACTGCCTCTGCCATTCCTCTTTCTGTGCCGATCCATCTTGGCACGAAGCCCTGGTAATTTCCAGAATTTGGCAGTGCCCTGGCAAGTGCACAGCTGCTGCTGTCTCCAACTCTTGCCTACTAATTTTGCATACACCACTTCCTCCTCTTGGTGCTGAGAAGGTCACAGGGCAGGGGGAACGTGCCTAGAGGGCAGAAGTCCTGTGATCTGGGAAGGTTTGGAGCCCCTGGTGGGGGGGCAGCAGCATCACCTCACCTGCAGCCCTGCCCACCTTGCCCCTTTACCCCTCTGCTCTTCCTCATCTTTTTCCATTTGACTCTCAATGTTTAAAAAGCTTGCCTCATTTCCTTTTTGTCCCCTCCTAATAAATACTAGCTTTGACTCCTCATTAATTAAAAGATCCAGTCAGCGCCCCTGAGTGTACCTGAGCCAAATGTGGGCAGGGAGAGAAGACCCGAAAGGGCAGAGACGGAGGCAGCGGTGGTGGGGCTGCTTGCCTTCCCTGGGCTTCCGCGTGCCAGCGCCTTCACTGTGCAGTGGCAGAGTGGGTGTGCACCAAACGCAGGTAAAATCGAGATATTTTTATCCTCCTGCACGCTTCTTAAATGTGGCATCAACTGATCATATTTGAATATAGTCATGGTGATGATTTCTTTCCTTTTGTTCCATGTCTCTCCATTTCCCTGCCTTTGTTGGTTGAGAGTGACTTGGTCCTCCCGGTGAGCAGAGGCAAGCCTCTTTCTGCACACCACGAGGGGTCCCTCACCTCTGCCCACTTCCAGAGGAGGGCTCAGTCACCAATGTCTGTGTGGCCTTCCACAGCTCTGTCGACAGGGGGAGGGTCACCCCTCTGGGTAGGTGAGTGCTTCTGCTTCCTTGGGAGGAGCTTTAGTTCTAGAATAACACTGTGAGTTACTGTTGCTTTTGTCATCAGTGGTCAGGTTATCATGGCTATTTGTTTCTTAAAACTCATCCCAGATCTGCCACTAATTAGTTGTTGTATTGAGCAAGCCTGTACTGTCTCTGAGATTTGCTTCTTATATGTAAAACAAGCCAGTTGCATTGTATTCCTTGAAGGTCCTGTTATTCCCTGATCTCTTCAATGTCAAATTGAAAGTGATGACCATGCTGAAGCTCTCTTCTTCGGACTCATTCCCAGGCCCAGTGGGAGCAGGTCCACTTCATGTGCACCTCTTAGAAATGGGAAGAGATTACAAAACAAACACATGTTTTTCTAACTTTGTGTGTATGAGCTCATTCCAATATGATGTCATCAGGGAGAAACTCAGGATATAAATGGACAGAACAGAAATTTACCAAAATTCATATAAAGTCCTGCAGTTCAAAGAAACAAATTGCACAAATAGGTGTTCAGCTGAAATTCACATATACATTTGGGTATTTGCATTATCCTCAGGTCTAATGTGAGCCAAGAGCGTAATGGATGCCCTGTGCTATATAGGATAACCACGAGTCCCCACGGCAAAGGCAGGCTGGAAGGAACTGCTGAGGCAGTGGCCAGGCCAGACAGTCTGATGTCAGCAGTCTTCAAAGAGATCAAAGGCAGAGCAAGGTTGGAGAGGCCAAAGGCAAGACACAGCTCAAGGTTGTGGCAGGAGATCAAGAAAGCAAAATGAGGGAGTCCTAATGTCAAAGCTTAGAGATAAGTGCAAATGATGGAAGTAGGGAGGGTGGGGCCAGAGAAATGGGGATCCATTCAGCAAACAGGTATTGCTGTACCAGATGAATTCAGTTTTTCTTTTTCTTTCTTTCTTTCCCCTTTTTACTAACCTTATATTCCCAGGCAGCTGCACCATCCCTAAATTTCTCCTTGATGCAGAATTTAAGTTACTAACCCCTTACATGCCCTGGTTGTTTCTGCATTTCTGCCTCTCTGCTTCTGCTAACAAATGCTCTTTCTTATTCCTCCCTGACTTCCTTCTTCTGTCCATCTTAAACATACCTTTCTTTCAAAGGTTCATCTCAAGTCCTGCCTCTTTCCTTCAGCCCAAGTTAACTACTCCCACCTCCATTATTGATTCTTTTCTTACAGCTCTATATAACAGAACGTGGCACATTTCTCACAGTCACGGGGGTAGGGGGAGCTGGCGGCAGCCAGGAGGTGATGCCCTGGGTGTAATTATTAACCCCTTAACCAGTTTGTAAGCATTGAGAGGAATGAGCTGTCTCTTACACACTCTGCGTGGTACAGGAGAGAATTTGGGAATAAGCAAAAACAGCCTGGCCTTCAGCCCTGGATCAGGGGTGTTCAGCACGTACCTGTCTGTAGGCCTTCCCGTCCTTCTCTGAAAAACAGGGCAATGGTTCCATGCTCTGGCTTCCACGCACAGGGGAGCAAACGTCTAGATCAAGATCAGAGGCAACAGTACTTTTTAACCTGTGAAGAACTCTAGGAAAGGAATAGGTTATTGTAAGAGGTGACATTGTGTTATTAAAAAGGCAAGGGAATTTAGGAATCTGAATTTTGAGTTAGATTTTAATTCTTGCTCTACCGCTTACTCCATGTCTGATCTTAGAAAATTTTCTTCCTGCCCTGTAAAATGACGAGACAGTCTTACAAGGATTATTAGTGTTGGAACTGGCTTATACACCAATTCATAAGAGCAAGTTGTCAAATATTAGTAATTTTGCAAGCTGGTTGTTAAACTGTTATTAGCCAGAATAGTGCCCTGGTGGGAGTACTTACCCCAGGGAAGTCACAAACACCGCATATGGAACAGTTGGGTATTTTCTCTGGGGAACTGGCTGACCAGCACACCGCTGAACTGGGTAGATGGGGCTCTGTAAACTGTGCAGCTCGTTGTTTTCATTTTCATTAAAAGTAGTAATGGTGACAAGCAATGTTCTGTGTCTACAGAACCCTGTGCCTATCGCAGGGCACAGCTCTTAGCACATATTTAATAAATACATCTTTAATTTAACTTGTGTTCACCCTTGTATTATTTTGATACTTCTTCCCCGGAGCTAAAGGAATACCCAACTTTACCTCTCTTCAAACCCCTTTCTACAAAGTGTCTTTCTAAAATCAGATAAAAATAAAAGCCTGGTTTAGTGCACGGCACACACAGAAGGCCTTAAAACCTCTGGGTCTGTAACTGAGCTCATGACCTTCTTCCCAAATCTGCTTTTCTTCTGATATTTCATATCTCAGTTAATGCCATTGCCCCTCTATCCACTACCCCAAGTAAGTTATCTGAAAGGTATTCCTCCCCTTTCCCTTCCCCCCACCCACTCCACGTCCAATCAGTCACTAGGTCTTACCAGTTCTGTCTCTCGCCTCTCTCCCCTCACCTTCACTGCCTGCTTCCTGGCTCATAGACAGCTGCCTTCCCAGAGCAGAAAAGGTGAGGGAGCTCTCCCAGGTGTCTTCCAATCAGGGCACTAATCCCAGTCATTCCTGAGGACTTCACCCTTGTGACCCAATCACCTACCAAAGGCCCAGCACACCTACCAAATACCAGCACGCTGGGGATTGGGTTTCAACATATGAATTTGTGGAGACACAAACATTCGATTTAGAGCAACGAATTAATGCAGAATGCCTGGAATATTTTGAAAAACATGATGATATAATGCCCCGCCCCACTGCCCTGCCCAACCCAACCACCTAGAATTAACTATTGTTAATTCTCGAGATGTATCCTTCCAGTCTTTTTTCTCATATATGTGTTTGTGTATCGTTTCTAAACAAATTTAAAAACCGTTTATGTTGTATATATTGTTCTAACCTGTTTTTATACTAATAGGTCACGGACATTTTCTCCTGGGATTAGCTACTCTCCCACAGCGTGACTGGTCATTGCTGCAGGGCAGCGCGCCACGTGCATACCCACCGCTGTTTAACGCCATTGCTGCAGCGCTTTCATTATCACAAACAGGAGCGCAGTAGTGTCATGACTACGGAAATGGTGATCTCATGTCCTCCTCCTGTTTCCCCAGGTCTCCGAGCCCGCTCCCACATCAGAACTCCGTTCGAATAGTGCTCTGAGTGCCGTCTCAGGACCGCGGGCACACTCATGGCACGATGGCCGGCCCTCAGGAGCACCTGAGCTGCTCCTCCTCCCCGCGCGGACCCCTGAGTGAAAGCAAAACCTTCAGCGGACTACGAGATGAGCTTGCCCCAGGGGGGAGCCACCCGTCGCCCAAGCTCCCTAAGGACCAGCCGGAGAAGGGGGCGGCTCAAACAGAGCTAGCGGACTGCGTGCACAGCCCCGCGGCCACCACAGTGTTGACGAGTGTGAGCGAGGACTCCAGGGACCAGTTTGAGAACAGCGTCCTTCAGCTGCGGGAACAAGATGAATCAGACGTGGCCGTGTCTCAGGGGAACAGCAACACGGCAGGTGGAGAGGGCGTGAGCGGAACAGATGACGTCAAGGTTCAGTTCAGCAGCTCCAGCAGCAGCGGTGGTGGGTTTCTTGAAGGACTGTTTGGATGCTTAAAGCCTGTGTGGAATATCATTGGGAAGGCGTATTCCACTGATTACAAGTTACAGCAGCAAGGTAAGCCATAGCATGAACCCAAAGATACTTCTTGGGTAAGCACACCATCGTCGTTAACTGGATGGCCTTTGACCTCTGGGGGAAATTAAAGAACTAGTACCAAAGGAATACCTGTATCAATTTCCCATAGACCTTCTGAGTGGAACAGATTCACATTCAGTTGGTGTGGTTTTGGTCAAAGCCCATGTTTTATGGTTATCCAGTCCAGTGGTGTCCGAAGTAGAATACAGATAAGACAATGCGTGGTGTTATAAGGAAGAAAATGTTAGAGCTTCTGTTTCTTTTATACCGTCACTTTAAATTTCTGTTTTTGTGCATATTTTATATATAGCTGGTATTTTAATAAAGTTGTGTAAATATTATCTAATTTGTAAATACATCACATAATATTTGCAATTTTTAATTTTTCTAATTGAATGTTTATATAATCAAAAATTCTGATGGCCTCGAGGCTAATTCAAAACCAGACAGAAGCTGTGTGGTACTGCCCAGTGACTGCAGGCCTGCCTTGGGTTGCAGGAAAAGGAGTTTTTTCTTACAGTCAAGGCACAGAAAGCTCATGTTTTGAGGAAAGACAAAATATCTAACCATTCTTGAGGAGTATTATTATTTTTAGGTCCCACTGCTTTTTAAAAAGTAAATTTTTAACTCCCATCATTGTGTAACTGTAAATTTCTATATTCCAATTCAAGCATTGTGACTTTGTAGTAACAAGAATACCACAGGCCCTGGTGTTCTTTCTAACTTCATTTATATTCCTTAAAAAAACTTTTACTTCTGAAAACAAAAGTAATATATGTAGAAAATTTGGGACATATAGGTAAGTCCCTCCAAAAAAGTTAAAATAATCTGTGATCCCAGTGTCCTGAGAAAAGCTGCCATTCATGTTTTTGGTGTCTATCATGTTTGTCTCTTTGTATGTATATGTGTGCCCTTAAAGAAGTCATACTGTTTTTCACTTCATAGTATGAATATTTCCCATATCCTCAAATATACTTCATCAGCATCCTTTGTAATGGCTGTATAATATTAAATTGTGTGAACAGGCCAATATTCATTTAAGGAATCTTCTTTTGCTCAACAATCTGTTGGCTGTGTTTAGTGATTATAAGCCGCACTTCAGCGAACATCTGTCTGTTACTTAATTTCTGCTCAGATCTTTGCTTATCCCTTTGGGTAAATTCCTAGGAGAGGGATGCTTGGGTTCAAAGGGTTTGTTGCTGGTGAGGCCTTTGATACACATCTTTGTAGCCTTGTGAAAGCAAATCAGTTGTTATGAGATCTCTCATTTTTAAATTTTAGAAAGGAAAAATATGGGCCAGAAGTAAGGTTCTGTTTTATTTATTTTATAACTGAATGTTGGACTCTGTGGCCCTCCCTTAAAAATATATTCATCTCTTTTCATAAGGACCATTCATGCTTCTCCACCACAGCAGTCGACATTGGTTACCATCACCCACTTTCTCATACATTCTGTTTTCCCATTTGTGAACTACTTACCCTAAACCAATACCACCTTCTCCCTCTGTACCTCTTATCCAAAGGTGTGTTGGGATTCACTGGTGTATCTGCCAATTCCAGGTGTACTTTTCAGGATTTGTCAGCCACGGTCTCCATTCCAGCTGCATGCAGAAATTCTTTGTCAGTACCTGGACTGTGCCTGTCTGCCTCTCTGTCTGGGTCTCTCTTTCTCATACACATACTCCCATATACTCTGAATATCCCACCTTTTCCCCGCTTCCACGATCTTAAGGATTCAAGGAAATTAAAAATTATTCCTTGTCACACAAAGATTGGGGACTCCTATGTTAAGCAGTCTTATTATTTTTTGAATTAGGAATAAAGAAGCATAAAGAGGAAAATAAAAATGATTTATCATCCCACAATTCAGAGATAACCACCCTTAATTTATTATTTTTTAAAAGTTTCCTCTTGGGGGGGAATGGGAGGGAGGTGGGGAGACGGGGCAGGGGGGGCTGGGATGGGAGAAATAGACAAAAAAGTGTACTTGAAAAATAACTAAATAAAAATTTTTTTAAAAGTTTCCTCTTCTCTGCTTAGACACAAAACCTACAAATATCTGCTTATGTGATAAACTACATTTGGTTTTTAGGATCTTAACTTGTCCAGTCTGTCAATTATTTTGGTGGTAATTTGAAGGTCTCAGGATCCAAACACAGTGTTGAGGTTCTGACCATAAAAGGAGTAAAAGACATGTTCAGTGTTTGTGAAAAGGAGCCTTGAAATTGTTATATTGTTCTGTAAACTCCTGTTTGATTTGTCTTGTATTCAATTATGTGACTTGCAGAAAGGCTTGCTGCAGAAATAAAAAAGCAACAGGCCTGGTCAACGTAAGCTTACAAGGATGCAGCAGCTGCCTAATTCTTCAGCAGACAAGACATCCTATTGTGGGCTGGTGCTGTGTGGGCTGTAAAGGAGATTTGCTAGCCGCCTGAACCTAGGTGTGGATTTTTCCTCATCAGCTCTGGGATCAGGGAGATAATCTTTAATCCTGGATTACAGTCAACCAAAGGATAGCACATGTAACAGATGTACCCCTGCATTTGGTACTTATGAGGAAATTTCACTAGATTTAAAAAAATTTTAAGGTCTTCATCTCCCATTTAGTTTGTTGGTAGTAAAGTCCAAGTAAGGTAGTACTATGTGTAATTGAATAGTACATTTATCTCCAAATAGTTCCCAGTCTCCGAGCAAGTATTGTCATTGGCAGTTTGAATAAACAAAGGAGAACTTAACTCATTACAGCAGGTGGGCATGTGGCTCTTTCATCATCTTAAGAATCATGGTGGATATTGGAATTAAGATAGTAGTCACAGTAATGAATCAGAGAGAAGATAAAAGCTGGGGAAGAGTACTAATGGGACAGATGTAAGAGCAGCAGAAAGTCTGGGACTAACCTGGAGGGAGCACAGCCAGTTGTCACTATTATGAGGTTAATGATCTCATTCATCAATTTCTCCCAATTCTTTGGTCCTCAGGCCAGTGCTCAACCTACTGAGCCACACAGCCAGGGATCTCATAATTTTTATTGCTGTATATTTTCCCTGCCATTTTTCTGATCCTTGCCTCCTTACTAGATATTGACAGGGACATTGGGACAGGATGAGAAAACTAAATCACATCCATCAGCTTTACTTCTGGTAATCAGTTCTAGTAATAAGGTTTGGGATGGGATATCAGATAAAATGAGTGTTTTTCTGATATTTTTTAATGTTTCTAGTATTTAACAGTAAATAAAGATTGAGTAGATAAGGAAAAAAGACACCCAAAGATTATGTAATTTTAATAGTTATTGTAATAAAAATTGGGGTAACTTGGACTTCTATGAAGTTATTCAGAGAAATATTACCCACTTATATTATTAAATTTTTATTTTGTTTTAGAGAAGGGAAAGGGAGGAAAAAAGAGAGATAGAGAAACTTTGATTGGTTGCCTTCTGCCTTCCCCAGTCGGGGCGTCCCAGGCATTTACCCTGACCAGGAATCGACCTGCAACGTCTTGGTTTGTGGGACACTGTCCGACCAACTGAGCTGTGCCAACCAGAGCAACCCAGTCGTGTTCTTGCCCCATATCCTGTAATAGTACCTTATTCCGCCCTCGGAATGGTCAAATCGACACTGTGTTGAGTTCTTCACTGGACCCCAAATAGTAAACTCCCTAGGTGTATGCCATCAATGTCTGCACCCTGTGTGTGCAGACAAATAAGCCCAGGGGGACGAAAGGGAGACTGCCTGAGACATTTAATGCTTGTCAGTCATTAAAAGCCATAAAGATGTTGAAAACAGTCAAGTTTACAACATACTGCTTTCTCCCAAATCTCACTTGATATTATTTGTTTCTCTGGTGATTTCTTTTTCATGAGTGATTTGTACTTTAGAGAGATTTTCTTTGATAGAGCATATAATTCCTTTCAGTAGAGCAGAAACCTTTTTAATACTGCTGAATGGGATGAATGTCCATGATATAAATGACCCTCACTATCATTTTTTCTGCTTCATGTGGTTATATTTTGAAGGTTGTGTTTTAACCATTGTGATAACAAGCCACATCTTATTAAGAGTCTACAGAATTTCTTTTAAAGTAGAGAAAATTAGAGAAGAGGGGAATGTAGTTTCCTTCTAAATACTGATGAACTCTTTCTGCCCTTACTTCATGTGATAAATGGTGAGTTGATTTGCTTTCAAGACCAGAATATCTTCAAAGCTACCTCAACTCTACCTTGTACAGTGTTCTGCAAATAGCAGCCTTTTAGTGATCAGATTCGACAAGAATTTCTCATAACCTTTAACATTGTTATCATCTGCTCCTCATTCCACAGGGCTCCTAGCTCTTTGATGTTCATTTCTTACCAGCTTAGTGATAATGCACTGGCGGAAAGGGGGACAAGGAAAAGGATCAGTGGATTATATTCTTCTTTTTAAGTTTCACAAGGTGAAAGCACATATCGATGGAATCTTTGAAGTGCTTTATTTTAAATAGCATGTAACTCATTAGAAAAGGAATATACATGTATAGTTAAAATTTTTTAAAACAGAAAAGGATAAAGAGCAATATGAATCACTAATAATACCACCCCTTAGTAATGACCCATTACATTTTTAGTGCAAAAAAACAATCAAACTCTAAGAGAAAGAGAAAATGGAAAATACTGGATCTGGATGAGTAAATGTATCGTGACTAATGACATTGTCCATTAATTCAGGAGAGGCAGTGTGGTACAGTGGAGAAAGTGCTGTCCCTGGAATCAGCCATTTCTGGAGTTCTGCCACTTACCATCTATATGACCTTGGGTAACTTACCTAACCACCTGTGTCTTAGTTTTCTCATCATTGAATAAGCATAGTAAGGCTGAACTTGTAGGGTTGTTGTGAGGATCAAACACAAGAGACATGTAAAGCACTATGCTAGTGTCTGGCATATAATAACTACTAAATAAAAGGTAAATACTAATATAGGTATTATGCATAATTAGGTCTTTAGGAGAGTATCATTGCAAATTCATTAAGCAAGGATTAATTGACCATCTGATGACAAATTCAAAGAAAAATAAAACAACACTTACCATGGGTGACGGGGTAGGGATAGCGGTGTAGAGACCAATCGAGGAATCAACTGGATGTGCGAGCTTGAAGCGAGGAGGTGGGCATGTCGGTATATGTTTTGTTTGGAGGAGAATATACCAGAGACCTCTGATCTGCTTGATTTCACTGGCTAAAAATTGATACAAACTAATACATGGGAATATCTGATCTACAGTACCAAGGCCCACAGAAAGGGTCTGTCTTTTGATGAATTACAGGTAGGAAACAAAGGGTAGATGTAAAGTTGGTACCTTCAGAGTAGCCTTGTAGAATGATCTCTAAGCAAATTCCAAGACCCTTTTAAGCTTGTTTCTCACTTGTGTGCCTAGATACTTGGGAAGTGCCATTTGAGGAGATCTCAGAGCTGCAGTGGCTGGGTAGTGGAGCCCAGGGAGCTGTCTTCCTGGGCAAGTTCCGAGCGGAGGAGGTGGCCATCAAGAAAGTGAGAGAGCAGAATGAGACGGATATCAAGCATTTGAGGAAGTTGAAGCACCCTAACATCATCGCTTTCAAGTAGGTCAAGGGTTTTTTTATTTAAGAAATAGATTTTCTTTCCCTTAATAGATACAGATAAATTCCTGCTTTGAAAGACATGTTAAGAACATGCTATACACTAAGCACTGTGTTAGGTGCTTTGGTAGGATACCAAAGAACTATTAAATTAGAGTCACGTCTTAAGAATTTATAATCTAGAAGTTCTTTTTGGACCAGAGGATGCCCTGCTTGGAAGGGATGCAGATGGGACAGAGAGGGGGAAAGTGGATTCCTGCCAAGTAGTCAGATCTGCTGCATCAACCTTATTTATCAGTAAGATGGCAAAGGTCACCTCCAGGTTACCTGCACATCCTAAAATCTGGTTAGGGAAACAAAGCTAACATCTAAGTGATCAGAGAACAATTAGTCCCTGTGTCATAGACATGCTTTTTATTAGTTCTATTAGCGTCTCTTCTTAAATATAAGTTTGTAATAACAGGTACCTTCAGAGTATATCTCCCCGCCTCATTGTTTGCTAGGTCACTTTTCAAGTGATTGCAAACACTCAGCTTTCTAAATGTAATGATACAGAGTTATCGATGATAGTAAGTTATGTGCTATTTTTATTTCACAAAGTAGTCATTTTCAAGATCTTTATAGTTCAGAGTATTATCTTCACAATATTGGTGGGGATTCCTAGCAAAAGGGGGAACTCTCAAAGGTAAATTTTGGAATCACCAGGTTTGGCAGTGCTGAGCTCTAAGTGTGTGCAATCTTTCTTGTTGTGAGTTCCCTCTCTTACCAGCCTTCACATTTGCTCTGGGCCTGAACAAATGAATGGTGAGTGGTGTTAGAGAATGGGAGAACAGGAAAGATAGTCTCTAGGTAGGATGAGGGTGTAGAAACTAGTACTTCTTTATGTGTGTTTATGTATATGTAGCATGACCAGTAGGGCTACAGTTATAAGTGGAATAACACTTCCCCCTTCTCTAAACTGGAAGGAACTTCTCCCAACCCCCAAGAGGAGATCCTTTCTTAATAAAATTCTCGTTATAAACCTAACATGTAATGTGATATTTTTCCTTTGGAATCACATCCCCAAAGTAAGGAATAGAAATCTTCAGTACAGGTTTTATAAAATGAGTTTAAATGAGTATTAAGGCTAAGTCTTGATTCCTAAGCAAGACCCCTCATGGGAAAAGAAAGAAGAGAAGCATTTAACTGGGATGCTAAACAAAGTACTTGGATTTATTTCCTTGTGGGAGGAACATCCTTGCAGAGCATGTGGGATGGAGTTTCAGCGGCTGTAGGGATTCCATCACTGGTTGCCCTGGTTGGGCCAAGAGGATGTGAGACTAAAACAAAATGCTCTAGAAACCAATTCTGATCTTTCCAAAGATGATAATTTCAGAAGATAATAGGAGGATTATTTTTAAGCAGACTACCAGAAACTCACTGCTTTCCCTCATTTTACCTCACTGAGAGGATCTTCAGTCCCCGTATGCTACACTATCCCAAATGGAAGGGAGGGCCTTCCATTTAACTTCCATTTAGTTACCACTTCCATTTTGAAGCTTCAGTCACTAGGCTGCTGGGTTGGAGACTCAGAACATTGCATAGATTAGCATGGCCTTTTGGCCTCCTGAGATGAAACAGGCTGTCCCTCAGGTCAGAGGGCTTCCCTGGTAGAATTGTGTCCTCAGAGGATGGGTATGAGATGCTTTATTTTTCCTTCCTGTCTTTTGCTTCTTCCTTTTTCTTCACAGTCCTTTCCCCCACCTCACCCTCTGACCCGCCTGCCTGCATATGCACTTTTCAGCATATTGGACAAATATTGCCATGTTGGTGCCCAACTCTTAGGCTGCAGATGCTTGAATAGTCTTTACCTCTACATGGAAAACAATAGTGAGACTGTGTCCCTGGCCCATCACACCACGCTCTTGGGCATTGTGCAGTGTTATGTTTGCAGCCATCTGTGCCATGTGTTGCTTGGCCAGTGAATCATTCAGGACCGTCTGGAAGACATAAAGGCAAGATTAGATTATAGTACGTCTCTCCTTATACTGCTTTTTCATGCTTACCGCTTCTTTTGAAGTAAGAACCATGTACAAAGGGAAAGAGCCAGGAAAGAATACTATATTATTCTTTCTTCCAATTTTTTAAGCAGTCTTTTAAGAAAGCTCAGCCTGACTCTTCCTAATGGAATTGAGTGCCAAGGGGAAGAAAAGGTAGCAATTAGAAGTGATTATGGAGTCGTTATTTATAGCTAGTAAGAAGTCTTGTCATAGCACAGGGCTGACGGAATGATTGCTCCTCATTCGTCAGTCAGGGAAGATGGAAAGTGCCTAACATGTCACTGCTAGACCCCTTCTGCCCATATTTGTGTGACAAGTTAAGACATACTAGAACAGGATACTGAATAGCTTCAAACAAATATTTATTTTTATATTCTTAAGCATATTACATTATTCCTGCCTTACTCACTGTTTCTCTGTAATGAAAATTAACTTGTCTCTGCTGTTGCCATACACTTGTGCTCCACTGAGGTTTCCTAAAAGTCAAGTAACAGAAAACCTGAAAAAAGTTTTTCAGTAAAAACCGAGATGAGAATTCTGAGCAGCTTAGAAAATGAGGAAGAGTAATAGAAAGAGCTTCATGGCATTTGACAGGCACATCAAAGCAGGAAAAATGAAGACTAATTATTTGATTTCTTTATAACCTGCTAGTGTCATAAGACTTGCACAGGATCACAAGTCATCATGGCCTCATCACTTACACCAAGAGATGAAGGACATGAAGTGAGAGCTGGCTAAAGGACTTTAGCTGAGTGTCTTGTAGGTAGACAGCTCTAAAAAGTTTTGTATGAAGGCACACATACCATTAAGGATGTCACACAGAGAATTGCACATGGCCATTTTTCTTCTCTTTGCTCATCCTCAGAAACAAACTGTGAATTAGAGTTAATATGATTATTCCCACTTTATAAAGTAACAATATTAATGTAGGAATTCTCAACATGCTTGTCTATACTTATGTTAAAGAGATAAAAGAGAGGTGGTGTGGTGTACTGAGTGGAAAGAGCATGGCTTTGAAGTTAAACGTACCGGATTTGAATACCAGTTCTGTCGCTCATTAGCAGTGTGATCTAGAGCAAGTCACTGCCCCTTTCTGAACATTACCTGTGAAAATGAAAAAGGTAATATCTATCTTATAGTGGTTTGGAGCAGACTAAATAAGACAAATAAACATGTCAGTATTCCTGACAAATAGAAGATGTTCTGTCACGTTACCGCCCCTTCTCATACCCCTGGCTTCTGCACGTGTTCGTAGGAAGGCTTTATCAGCAAAAGAAGGTTAAGGTGAAGTTAAGAACCATTTGTCAGGGACTTACTGGGAACATCCGGGCCTTGTGGTAGACAGAAAAGAACGTAAAGACCTCTCCCTTCAAGGAACCTGTAATCTGTATCAAGAGGGAAAATCACATATAAAAAACTGATGGCTGCTATGCAGCACTGACATTTAGAGAAGAGAAAGACGTTTTGGGACTGGAATGATCAGAAAAGGCTCCGTGCAAGATGTAGGAACTGATGGAGACACAGGCTGCATAGATACATAACACATTGTGTCATGTTATTTTTATTCTAAACAGAAGTGGTTTTTGAAGATTATCTAATATAGAAATTTCTATCTTTGATCCTGAGTCTAGTTAGTTGTCTTAAATCTGAGTAATTGAAAAGTTAACAAATAAAGAGTAGCAAAAAAAGAGTAATATTTTATTTAATCCTCTCTTTTGGCACACTATGTTAAAACCCTCTATTTAATTCTAAAAGGAAGATATTTATATTATTCTTAACAATCTAAAACAACATAATATCCAGCCCATACAAAGCCTCATGAAAGGGCGCTCTTTGTCCCAGGATAGAATGAATGGTCCCACGGAAAAAGCACCAGATACAGCATTAGCATATGGATACCTAAAGTGAGCAAAACAAACCAAAATTGTCTGTATGTATAATAGAAAAACCTGTAGACAAGAGGGTTTTTAATGCTAATTTAAGAATCAGAAGTGAGCACACAATATACAGATGATGTGTCATAGAATTGTATACCTTAAACATGTAATTTTATTAACCAGTGTCATCCCAATAAATTCAACCATAAAATTCTGTCATCAAAAAGAATCAGGAAAGATTATCTCTCCGTATTTTTTAAATAATTTCAGTAGAGAATTGGTCCTGATTAAATTTAAGAAATATTCCTAAAATATAAATACGTATACACGTATGTTTGTTTCTATGTGTGTACTGTATTTACAAACACGTTGTGTCTCCCTGACAGGGGAGTGTGTACTCAGGCCCCGTGCTATTGCATCATCATGGAATATTGCGCCCACGGGCAGCTCTACGAGGTGTTACGGGCTGGCAGGAAGATCACGCCTCGATTGCTAGTAGATTGGTCCACGGGAATTGCAAGTGGAATGAATTATTTGCACCTTCACAAAATCATTCATCGTGATCTCAAATCACCCAAGTGAGTAATGGAGCTAATTTTTCAGCCACGTTGTTTTATTGCTTTGAAATAAGGAATTCCATCGACCACAGCTGAGGTTTTCAGACATTGTACCTTGGGTTCAGTTTAAATCAGCACAATGGGTGGTGCTATTCACATACCTTTTGGATTATTGTGACCTACTTACTTATCTGTATGGCAGATATGTTCAGGCACCTGACACTAGTTTTCCTATTTTATTGCTTTTTAATTGTGCAGTTATGAAACAATTCATTTTCTGGAGTACTCACCTTTTATCATTTTGAATGATTAATGCCAAGCTTCCTCACTTCAAGGCTCATCAATTTGTTGTTTTCCTATGTGTTTAAAAACAAGCCATTTTTTAATAATTGAATTTCAGAAATGTATTTAATACAATCAGATAAAAATGAATAAATAAGAACCAAAAGCAAAGAGAAAATAAAAACATTAGAACTAAAACTTGTTCCCAAAATATATGACTCTGTATTGTTGTTGGGGGTAGACTATATAGTTGGCTTCGAATTTTTTAGAATCTAAGCAGAGAGAGGAAGGAAGGAAGGGAGGGAGGGAAGGAAAAGAAGAGAGAAATAATAAAATAAAATGAAATGAAATAATGAAATGAAATAAAATACTTTAAGGTTCATAGTGTCCATAAGAAAAATGCAAACTGATTATTTAAGAGAAGCAAGCTATTTCTAGTAATCAATGTTATCAAAATGATTCCTTGGCTACTTTTACTAATAACCACTTTAAGAGGAGTGTTTGTTCAGGTCCTCAAATTGCATAAAGAAAAGTAAGGAGTTGATAAAAGGGTATATTTCATCCCTGACTGGTGTGGCTCAATGGATTGAGTGCTGGCCTGTGAACCCAAAGGTCACCAGTTCAATTCCCAGTCAGGGTACATGCTTGGGTTACAGGCTGGGTTCCTGATTGGGGGTGTTTCTCTCTCGTTCTCCCTCCCTTACCCTCTAAAAGTAAATAAATAAACTTTTAAAAAATTGTTTATTTCAATGTAGCTCCTATTTTTAAACATTATTTTCATTATTTCTCATCATATTTGGTTTGGAGAACCAGAAAAGAATTAATCTTTTCTCAAAAATATATTTACATGCACGCTTTTATGATTTACAGCATATTTTTATATCTATTATCACACCTGCTTTGATCTTGGTGAAAACTGTATGGAATAGATGTAGCAAGTATTATTATTCTTATTTTATATAAGAGAAACTAGGGCTCAGAGCCCAAAGTCATGGAGTAGGACTTGAACTCAGAACTTTTAGACCAAAGACCACTGCTTCCTACAGCATTGTGTGAAGGTCAGAGATTCACAAGGAGTCCTTCCTCTTCTCCATGGAAGACACAAATCAGTCCTTGATTATAAACTCCAGTGAGTTTATCACCATAGTTCTCAACAATGTTTATTACAATCAACAGCTCGCTGAACAGCCTCCCTCTTGCTTTACTTGCAAATAACTTTATTATATAGTGTTCATTCCTTCTGTCTACAGTTTTAACCCAACCTGTTGCTTTTATCATCCACTACATACACATAAAATACTTACCTAAGGCCTCTTTGAATGCTTTTCTTTTGAATCACTGTATTCTCCTTGAGAAGTAATTTTAGAGGAAGACGTCAGGAGGTTTTAGAAGATGTAGAAGTCACGTGCTACTCTCTTTAACTCCTGTCATGGAGAGAATAGAAGCTGGTTACCCAGTAAGCTTCTCCCTGTGTTATCAGCACCTGCCTGAACCCCAGGCAGGCTGGTTCTCCCTGGGTTCCCAGCTAACTGGGAAAAAACAAAGATCAGTCTGGCTTGCTGTGGAGAGAGATTTTATTACCTACATGAGATATTTAAGCCATGTGATCTCTGTCTCAGAGAAGATTTCAGAAAAGTTCCAACAGCAGGTCTCCTCCAGTCTGCTCCCATGCCCACCCCCTTGTGTCAGGCCCACGGGTCCCACAGTGAGCAGCATGGGAGACACAGGAGGGGAAGTTCCAGTGTTTTGTTTTTTTTTCTCTAGGGGCTTATCACCTTTTCTGAATGTCATGGTTTATGATACCATCGGTTCTCCAATTATCTCAAATTGCCCATAATATTTTAATCCTCATGCATTTTTTCCAAGACTAACACCATTAAATCAAAATTCCTAAATTGTGTGAATTTTAATAACAGGTGCAAAACCAGGGCTTGGATGTGGATGAAGGTGTCCTAACACAATTGTAAACACTGAGCTGTTTGGTAAACAGAGAGCCATTTGACATTGGCGGGAGGGAAGTTCCTGGTTCAAACGAGAAGGGACGAGACAGACTGAGTTTCCTATTTTCTTGCTGCCTTGATTCGGATACTGTTAGAATATTAAGCTTTCTTCTTGTTGAAAGTAGGTCTGTAGATCGTTAAGCCTCTGAAACCCTAAAGCACTGACATTCTGAAGTTCCAAATAGCCTGTTTCAAGTGAAGTCAGTCTATTGTGTGAGGATGTTCACTTGTTGGATTTGACTGGTTCCAGGGTGTATTCATCTTTAAAGCTAGCAAAAGCAGTTTGTCCCTGGTCACATTTCAGATAACTTCCGTGAAAATTAAAACATGAGTTGTGTGGGATCTACTTAAGGTTAAATTTATTCCTGCTTGTCCTTATCAGCATTACTGGAATCCCAAGATACATATCAGCCTTTTAATGTAACCATTCCCGAGTATCATGATCCCACACATGATTTCAGCTGGGCATCATTTAAACAGTGTTTTTAAAAAAATGTTTTCCTAGTGGGTTGTCTGAGGCTGGCAGGGTAGAAATCAATATTTATTGAGCATGGGTGTTTTACTTATCTCATTTAATTCAAACAAAAATTTTATGAGGCCATTATTACAGGCCCATATCCCTTATCCAAAACTCTTGGAGTCAGGTGATTTCAAGAAGGTAACCGTGTATTACCTTACACATTCCCAGCAAAGACCGGGGCACACCCTATAATCAGCTGCATTCATATGTCTGTAACAAAACCTATGATGGTCATACAAAGTGGATAAATAAAGTGAGTTTGCTTTATACATATAAAAAAGTTTGTATACACTGTTTTCAGAGCATTTTGCAATTTTGAATTGTGGATAAGATGGTCTGAACTGAATTGTCTCCATCTTATAGATGAGAAAACTAGCTTAGCAGAATTGAGTTGGTAAATCTCACACAGTGGTGAAGGCAGGATAAAACCAGGTGTACAAGCCCGCTATTCTATGCTGCCTCATGAGTATGAATGGTGATGTTTCTAGTGTATTGTTAATGTCCTAGTAATATTGGAACTGGCGAGCTGAATTCTACAAGGTAGGGGGCAGCAAACTCTTTGGTTGCCAATTTGAATCATGTATTTTCATTAATACCAATGATCTGGATATTCTCTTATTTCTTTTTAAAGTGTTTTAGTGACTCACACAGATGCAGTAAAGATTTCAGATTTTGGTACCTCTAAAGAACTCAGCGACAAAAGTACCAAGATGTCCTTCGCTGGCACAGTTGCGTGGATGGCACCAGAGGTGATACGAAATGAACCAGTCTCTGAAAAAGTCGATATATGGTGAGCAGCACCTTCTGTGTGAAGTAGAAAGTCTGTCCCCACTTTCACCCTGTTAGCATTTTCCTCTATCAACATCTCTACTCCCTCGAATATTCTTTCTTGTTACTCCCTTCTGGGTGATTGCAGTCTCCCATTAGCTGAGGTACCACCCAGTACAATGATAACCTGGTGAGAAGAGTTGAGATAGGAATTAGGGTAACTGTCCATTTGGCAAATCAGTTTTTGGGGACCCTCAGAGACCACGTTGAACTTTCTGGAAAATAGAAAGTTTACTTTAAGTAACCATCTAGTATAAAAGTCTTCCTGAAATACATTATATAATTCTCACCTCCTTAAAGAAAATACTTTAAACAAAGTTCACCCGTCCTTGGTAACTCAGACCATCGTTGGTCCATCAGAGACCTACTGATGTGATCCACTTACGTGCTTCAGACCTGTCCGAGTTGTACAGTACGGTTTGCCATTTATTAAACAGCCCCATGGGCTGTGCGTTGTTGTTGCCCTTGTTGTTGTTGGCCTTTTTAAATCTGTATCTATTTTTCCTGCAAATATTTGCTATAAACAGTGTATTTTCCTGTAGCTCGCTTTTCTTATATTCTTAAAATTGACTACCAATAACTTTAGGCTTAAAATCAAAACGGTAGCATATACTATAATTTCATGTGACACCAAAATAAATAAGATAAAGAAGAAATGTGGGATCTCTGTGTAATTTGGGTGATTATTACAAATGTGCCCTCTTTAGGGATTATGCCACTTTATGTTCCCAACAGAAATATAACAGTGTTTTCTCAGTTTCCCAAAAAAGTTGAACTTTTAGATTTTTGCTAACCATGTAGGTAAAAAAAGCTATCTTTGGTGAAGTTTAACTTGCATTACTTTTCTTTTAAGTAGGGTTGTATATTTTTTATGTTTACAAACCATTTGTAATTTCTTATTTGTGAACTAATCTTATTCTTTGCTAAGTTTTCTGATCTCTACTCTTATCAATTATAAAAGTATAGTATATATTGAGAAGATTAGTCTTTTGTGTATCTGAATTACAGATACCTTTTACATTTTGTTATTTTGCTTATAGCGGAGATTTTTTCTATGCAAGATTTTTTTAATATAGTTTAGCTTATCATTTTCATCTTTTAAGCCTTCTGTATTTCATAATTAAAAAAGCCTTCAACACTCTAAGGATTTTTTAAAATTTCCCATGTATTTTTCAGGATTTTTATGGTTTCATTTTTTATATCTAAATCTTTGATTCATTAGGAATTCATCTTTATGTGGATGACATATACATTTAATTGTCTCCTCAGTTATCCCAACAGCATTTATTGAATAATCAATTTTACCCCACTGGTTTGAGATGTCACTTTTATCAAATACGCAATTCCTGTGTGTATTTGGTCTAGTCCTAGATTTCTGTTCCATTCCATTAGTCCGGCTGTCTCCCCATGCACCAGTGTTAACTATGGAAGCCTTATAAAATGTCTTAATGTCTAGTAGGTATTGTTGGTTACCCATCACTGACTTTCTTTTTTAGAGTTTTCCTGGCTGTTTCCATTTTTCTTATAGCAGTATTAGAATTTTAAAACTGGGTACATTTGATTAAAAATTAGTAAAGAACTAAAATACAAGCCAGTCTTTCTGAAATGTCTTCTGTGCGTGTTCCTGGCACCGCTGCAGGTCCTTCGGGGTGGTGCTTTGGGAGCTGCTGACAGGAGAGATCCCCTACAAAGATGTGGACTCTTCAGCCATCATTTGGGGTGTCGGAAGCAATAGTTTACACCTTCCGGTTCCTTCCACTTGCCCTGATGGATTCAAAATCCTCATGAAACAAACATGGTGAGAAATGCATTTCTCCTAATATTCTCTTTTACTTTCCTCCTCAAAACCATATTCAAAACTTCTCTAAAACTGCAGAGAAGTCTCTAATGTGTATTGGGAGTGAATCACCTGGCAGCATAAAGACAAGAAGCCTTGGAATTATTTATAAATAAAGAATTTAGTACTCCTCAAAATAGTAGACCTTAGTAAATGATAGCTATTATTACTTCACCAGTCCTAAGGGATCATTATCAAACAGGTCACTGATCCTAGAGATTTCCATTTCATCAGCATTGCCTGAGATATAGCCACGCATGGAGTCAAAAATGTTTTTCAGAAAGTAGAATAGAGCCCTGGTCGGGCAGCTCAGTTGGTTAGAGCATCATCCCTGTACACCAAGGTTGCAGTTCTGATCCCAGGTTAGGGAACATACAAAAAAGCAACCAATGAATACATAAGTAAGTGGAACAACAAAGTAACGTTTCTCTCTTTAAAATCAATTAAAAAATAAATAAAGTAGAAGAATAAAATCTTTATCTTCCTGGATATAACTTCTGAAATTCACAAGCTGCCTCTTTTTACTTCCAGGCAAAGTAAACCTCGCAACCGACCTTCGTTTCGGCAGACGCTCATGCATTTAGACATCGCGTCCGCAGATGTCCTTGCCACGCCACAGGAAACTTACTTCAAGTCTCAGGTAAGTCTGGAAAGTCTCTACCAGGTGCTACTGAACAGACAGACAGGGAACTCTCACTGAAGAAAAAGTAATTCTTAGAAGAGAGCTATTCCGATTCTTATAACAGTTATATAATTCCTTTCATTGTGAAACAACAACTATGATACCTCATACATATGACATGTTGGAGTTTTTGAGCACTTATACTGTTACCTCATTTGAAAAGCACGTGTATCAGAATCTGATCTTTATATGGGTTCTGGTGAAACTGTTGAAGAGAAAAGAGTAATAGAAGATATGAAAACACTGTAATATACACATATTCAAATTAGAATTATTATTGAACTTCATGAAAGTATTACCGTCTTTAAAGTAGAAAAACTAAAGTGCAGAGCAGGGAAGTTAAATACCAGAAAGAGCCCATGATGGAATTAGGCTCAGAGAGAACCTTTTCTCTAACTTTCAGTAGCACTGATTAAAATGTTATTTAATGTATCTGTTAGCTTTTACTGCATTACAAACCAATCTAAAACTTATGGCTCAAAGCAATAAGCTTTTGTTGAGCTCACAGTTTAGTGGGTTGGGAATTCAGGCAAAGCGGTTCTTCCGTGGCTCTGGGCTCACTCACATGTCTGCAGTCAGTCGCCAGGTCAGCTGGGAGACTGTCAGGTCCCAGATGGCCTCGTTCACAAGTCTGGCTGGCTGGTAGCTAGAGCACCTCAGTCCTCCTCCACATGGGCCGGCCAACCCAGATGGAGAAACAGACATCACCTCTTGATGAGACAAGCTACCATAGCAGATTGTAAGCTTGGGTACAGAGAAGGAAAGAAGAGGTGACTGTTAAATTAAAATTCTATGAATTGTCATAAGGATTGGTGGCCCAGTCCTGGCTGGTGTGGCTCAGTTGATTGGAGTAACTGGAGTATTCTGTTAACTGGAAGGGCACTGATTCGATTCCAGGTCAGGGCACATGCCTAGGTTGAGGGTTTGATCCCCAGTCAGGGTGTGTGTGGGGAGGCAGCCGGTCAATGTTTCTCTCCATCACTGGTATTTCTCTCTCTCTCTCTTCCTTCTCCTCTTTTTCAAATGAGAATAAAATAAAAACCTTTTCAAAAATTATTTTTAAAAGACTGATGGTCCCACCAACATCAATATGGACTGGGAGCTGTGGGAGATAGGTGTACATGAGACCCATATTCCTGCCAGACCCAGGCAACAGCAGGAGGTAACTGGGATGAAACTATGGCTTTTGAAGTAAACATGATGATTCTAAATTATAGCTTTGTGCTTGCAGGATTTCACAGTAGTATTACATAATTGCTCATCACATAGCTTTGTCTCACTCATGTTACTGTGCTTCTAAACGAATTTTTGTGTTTTTTTCTAAGATTTTATTTATTTATCTTTAGAGGGGAAGGGAAGAAGAGAGGGAGAGAAACATCAATGTGTGGTTGCCTTTTGTGTGTCCTCTGCTGGGAACTGGCCTGCAGGGAACCGGCCTGCAACCCAGACATGTGCCCTGACTGGGAATCGAACCACCATCGTGTGGTTCACAGTCCCGCGCTCAATCCACTGAGCTACACCAGCCAGGGCTCTAAATGAATTTTTGTAAGATGAATTCCATTTCCACATTATTTTCCCATGTCACTTTAAAGATTAATCCTCAGAGAAGACATTACCAGTTGGTATTTCAGTCTCCCCCCATAGCCCCCCATCTTCGGTGGGTGATGAGTTTACCTACCAGGAAAGTCTGTGTTGGGAGGAGGACTGGACTGGGGAGGGGATAATCCTGGAAGTTAAACAAGTCCTCCAGTATGCTTTCGTGCCTGTCTCGACCCAAGGCTCAGAGTACGGGCTTCACAGGTGTCTGATAAACATTGAGACGCTCTGTCCGCCAGACACTGGGAACATCTAACAAAGCCGCACGGGTTCTGGCAGTGTCTGGAGACCGATGTGTCAGACCGCTGCCCTGTCGCCCGTGGCTCCAGCGTCCTTCTGTGAGCCACAGCCCTGCCTCTCCCCACAGCTGTGTCTTCTGACATTTAGTCAGACTTGCCCTTATAGTTTTTTAGTGTTTCTGAGGAATTACTATGTAAGTAGTAAAGTGTTTGATCTTAGAGGAAATAAGAGCATGTAGGGGCTGACTTCATACCATTTCCTGTGTTCTTGATATGCATTCAGAAAACTCCCTCCGAACTATTACAACTATTGCCTAACCAAACACACGCAGGTGTGGTGCGGGAGAAGAAACCTCAAATAACTTCTGTGGGTATTCAGAAAAAACCTAGGTTCTTTTGTGAAATGAGAGAGAATAACATAGAGTACTCTCTAGGAAATCTTTCAAACCGTAGGATGTGGCTGCAATCACAGCTTTGCTTCTTTTACAATAAAATACATGTATCACTATTTTGAAAGGTAGTTTTTGTGAGCGTGCTAAGTCACAGCTATTGAGATGGTATAACTATATGTACTTAGAAAACTGAAGTTCTAAGCAGATTTCACTTGAGTGCTCCCAGAGTGTCGCTTCTTAGCCAGCACATGTCCTGAGCCCCCACCACATACAAAGCCCTGTATAGTGCAGCTAAGCATACACAGTCGGTATCCTCCTTGTACACATTCACTTTCTTAAAAATATTTTATTTATTTATTTTCAGAGAGAGGGGAAGGGAAGGAGAAAGAGAGGGAGAGAAACATCAATGTGTGGTTGCCTCTGTCTCACATGGCCTCCACTGGGGACCTGGCCCACATCACAGACATGTACCCTAACTGGGAATCGAACCAGCAACGCTTTGGTTCATAACCTGCACTCAGTCCATTGAGCTACACCAGCCAGGGCTTCACACTCACTTTTATCAACACATGCAGTGCTGAAATTGAACTCAGAAAAGGTCCTTTCAGAGGAAGAATATGAAAAGGAGCAGAAGGGAAGGAAGAGAGAGGAAACACTTAGTACGTTGAACATCTTTTAATAATCATTAAGTTTTCCACATTTTTCTCCCAACATAAAATTTTACCCCTCCTTGAGTAGCCCCAAATCTGCTATCCTTGATAGTTCCTAGAATTAGATCTTAAATCAAAACCCCTGTCCTGTGATCTTGGATAACACGAAATTCTCTAAACCTCAGCTTACTCATCTAAACAATGAAGATAATCATATCTTTCCTTCCTTGTGGATCAAGCGAGACAATAAAAGTGCAAGTGTGAATGCAACGTCTGGTTGAGATGCAGGTAAACGCAACTCGCCGCCTCGCACAACCACAGCTAAATTCACTCAGAACTGTAAGAAAATCAAGATGTATGGAAGCCCGACAAGAAAGGAATTAAAGAAGCCACATTCGTCCAGACAGGTAGTAGGGATGAAGGGACAGGGGGTGGGGAGGCGAAGATGTGGAACCAGCTGATCCCAAACTCTCCTGTGGCAGATACGAAACAGAGGTATATGGTAGAAGGAAGAGATCCCAGCCCCACACCACGCCAACCAGCCCAGGGTTTCAGTGCCAGGAAGATAAGTTCCTAAAACTTCTGGCTATAAAAACCAGTGGGGGTTGAGTCGGTGGAAGAAACTGCAGGATTCTCAGGCCTCTCTCTTAAAGAGCCTTTCATTGCACACAGACATACTCAGACTCACTCCCTCTGGGCTCCAGCACCAGGACAGCACCCTGAAGGACACTAGTGGCATACAGGAATGAACTAAAGTGTCTGGCATCAGGGCAAGGGCTGGGGGACAGCTTCCTCCCAGACAGAACTGCAGACAGTAGCCACTGTACCTTTTCTGAGCCCTCCCCCACATAGAGCCACAGTGCTGCAGCACCACATCTGAATCTCCATCAACCTGGCTCCCATGGTAAGCCCCACCCTATTACCTAAGGGTCTACCCCATCCAACTCATGGGCCTACCCAAGCTGATAACAGTCCTTTTCCATAAGAAGGGCTGGGGTAGAAATAGGCTTCAGACATTCCAAAATCTGCTCAAACAAGCAATAGCAGAGCCAAGCCCCCATACCTCTTACTGAGTAGCCCTAGGCCCAGGACTAGAAGCTGTCTGCAGATCACTTTATAATTTATGCCAGAAGGCCCCAGACAGAACACAGGTGGAGGCTGACCTTGGCCAGCACCACCCAGGAAACTCCAGAGCCTGCATCCCTAGAAGACAGTTACAGACCACATTGGAGCATCACTCAATTACCTCCACAAGCCATGGAGGGAGGTGGTTGCTGGCCAGGGATCAGAGTTAGTCCCATAGCTGTCTATACTGGATAAATCCCTCCTATCGACCCACTGGCAGCAATCACGACTCATCTACGCGAGGAGAGAGTACTCAGCCCACACGGAGGGCATAGCTAGAGCATACAGCTTGGGCGATGGGGAAGCTGTGTCACTGGACCCTACTACATGAGGCCACACTACCAAGACACGGAGTCAAAGCAGCGCTACCTCATACACAGAAACAAACACAGGGAGGCCACCAAAATAAGAAGACAGAGTAACATGGCCCAAGTGGAAGAACAGAACAAAACTCCAGAAATAGAACTAAACGAAATGGAGATAAGCAATCCATCAAATGCAGAGTTCAAAACACTGGTTGTGAGGATACTCAAAAAACTCAGTGAATACTTCAACAGCATAAAAAAAGACCCAGGCAGAAATGAAGAATATACTAATTAAAATAAAGAACAGCCCTGGCTGGTGTGGCTCAGCAGATTGAGTGCAAGCCTGAGAACTGAAGGGTCACTGTTCGATTCCCAGTCAGGGTACATACCTGGGTTGCAGGCCAGGTCCCCAGGTGGGGGTGTGCAAGAGGCAACCACACACTGGTGTTTCTCTCCCTGTCTTTCTCGTTCCCTTCCCCTCTCTCTCTAAAAATATATAAATAAAATCTTTTTTAAAAAGAAGGAAAGAACAATTAGGGAATCAACAGCAAAGTGGGTTAAGCCAATAATCAAATCAATGACTTGGAATATAAGGAAGAAAAAGACATCCAATCAGTACAGCAAAAATAAAAAAGGATCCAAAAAATTGAG